ACACTTAAGAATTGCACCCAGGCCGTCCCTACATTTATTAATTTTCGAATATAACGTGAATTTTCAGTGCAAATAACATTCCAACCCAGTTAACCGCCAGCTTTTGGTTCGCACATGACGTCACACGGTGGAGAGAGATAGCTATAATATGCGAATCAGCATAATAAGTGAGTGTAAAGAAACATAAAAAAAACTTGGGTGACATTTGGTTTGCTGGTGTATTTTGTTGATTTGTAGTATTTTCTGTATGGTTTATTGGCCTACTTCTTGCAACATTATTAATATGTCAGACAAATATTTTGATGGGTAACCCCTTCCTTTAAATTGTAAACACTTTTTGCAGCAGCTTTTAAAAAAATTAAATTGGTGCCTAAAAAAAGCGTCGAAAATTATTTTGAAAATGTTCCGCTGGACGCACTAGAAAAATCCGTATTTAATATCAAGCATGTAGTGGATATCAGCAGATTCATGAAGTTACAGGCATATTTGAAGAAGTTACTTCCCAAAAAAGTTAGGTCTTAGCAAAAAATGAATTTGGGCAATTCATGTCCAATGCTCCTGATAAAGAATACTTGGGAATGAGGGTGGACCATATAGAAGAGGATCTCTTTTATATTAAAGTTCCTGACAGCTGTAGTAAAAGTGTTACAACAATCTAAAAACTATGACGACCTTAATAAAACACAACATAGCTCGAAGGCAACGAACGCGTCAATCTGACGGAGCCTAATTAGCCACTTGTCCCATAGATAATAATGAAATGAATAAAGTAAATAGCGCGATTCCTTAGGGTGAAATATATAAGATATATATGTTTCGTCTTGACATATGGTTCCCAGTTGCACTTTGCATCCGAGAAATTTATAGCTACGTTGCAAGGTTCGCGACGGTAAAGTTTCAGGTGTAAATCCTGAAGAAGAAGCGACTCAAAAAAGTTTATTCAGGTACATATTTAATTGTTGTTTTAAGAGGTAATTTTGTAGATAAACAATAAATGTCTAAAAAAAAGTGCATAACTTACATCTGAAATACACCTCAAAGTTTTGTGGCGGCGAGTAAACGTCCTTAACCGCGGATAAACTACAACCGGCTGCCAGCATCAAGCTACAGAGAAATACTGAGTAGAGAGATAGAAAGCCGGGCGAGCAGCATCAGGTTGTTTGGGTCCGGCGTACGTTAGTTTGTCGACCCCGCGAGTGCGAATCCGGGCACCACCGGATCGCGCTCCGGTATCTCTGCTCTCCTCTTCGGTGCTGCGGATGCTGCGAGGCGAAGCGAAGCACTGGCCTAGGTTGGGGAGGACGCGCCACGGAGAAGTTGTAGGTTAGAAGGGGGACGCGCATGTATCCGATGCAAGAAACACCTGGAAGGTGTGCATGGAGGGGGCTTGTCTTTTTGCAATGGCTGGGTCAGGATTACGAAGAGAAAAACAGACATTGATATTAGTAAAATTTATAGGATATTTTAAATATTTCTTGAAGCACTTTATCAATTAATCAATGTCGTCACAATTTTACATCAGTTAGGTCTGTGGGTAAAAGGCATAAGGGGATAAGTCAAAAAAAGCATTTTTTTAGTAGAGCCTTAAACGTATTGGCATTAATTCAGGAAACATATTTATGGTTAGCGGATATACCCTTTTTTTAGCACATGGAATATGCTAACAAAAGGCTATACCCGCAAAACATAAATATATTTCCTGAATTAATGCGAACACGTTAAAGGCTCTATTGAAAAATTGCTTTTTTTGACGTATCCCCTTATGCCTTTTACCCACAGAGGTGCTCTAAAATAAACCAATGATACAGAAGTGAACGTATTTTTACTGATTCATTTGTTTGGATAATTTCTTAGAATATTCAAGAGCTAAATATCCTTATAGAAAGCTCTAATTTCAATATCTCACATAAACCACTCTTCAATTTCAAAGTTTATAGAAGAAGACGTAGATGCTTGTTAAATTGTTTCAGATGTATCTTTACTCTTCCCTAGTTTTAAAGCATTTTATTAATTAATTAATAAAAGTAAGTCCGTCATCACAATTTCTACATCAATTAAGTGCTGAAAGAAACCAATGCCACCTCCTAAAAGCAGTGAACGTTTTTTTTACTGATCTATTTCAGAATACCCAAGAGCTGTATGAGTTTACAGAACAAGACTTAGATGATCGTTAAAATATTCCAGATTTATCTTTACTTCCCCCTTCTGCATATTTATTTTTGAACGCTGCTTTTTTCTATTCTCCCTTGCTGTAGTTTTAAGGTCAGCTGGAATAGCTATTTACATACCATAGGAGTAAAATAGTGCTTTTCCTCCCGCGAATAGTTTGATGCCCGACGCGAAGCGAAGGGCATTCAATATTCAAGGAAGGAAACGCATTTTCCTCCTGAGGTATGTATATAGTTTTTTCTATTACCTTTTAACGGGTTCATTTTACTAACCCGGTATGGGGCTATAAAATTTTGACCAAATATTAAGTAGGTGTTGCGTTGCCGTTGTTATGTTAACAACGCTTTGTTGTTATGTTAAGACCTGCCGCAAGATCTTGCTGAATAGGCAAGAATAGTTGCAATTAATTTCCTTCCTTAAAAATCGAAAGAGCGATATGAAAATGAATATAGTTTAAAGGATGGTTGGACAAGCGCGGAGTAAATCTTTTTTCTACAAAATCAAATAGAGCCAGACAAGGTACAAAAACTCTTGGTAAAGTAAAATCGTTAAAAAAAAGGGAGGAAAATTGTTTTCCTCCCGGGGGGGAAAAGAGGCCTCGCTCGGCCGAAAATTCAACTTTCGTCCCTTGTAGTGTAAATTACAGAGATGTAAAAAAACGGTTTTTTTTTTCAGATGTGAAAAAAAACATGAAAAAAAACTAGAAAAAAAACGGTTTTTTTTGTTTTTTTTCAAAATGAAATTTTGAGTAAAATATATATTAATAATAAAGTGAAATGTAGAATATATTAAATTTTTCATTATTGAAAATTTTGACCGAGACTAAAAAATCTGATTTCTTATTATTTGGTAGTTTCCACATTAGAAACCAGTAGCAATGTAAAACTTATACACCAATACAAAAAATTAAAGGATAAAAAAATTGTTTTGCGATTCTTTGGATAGCTGTATCTTTGTTAAAAATGGTCGTATTGGAGCCGTAAAAAAAGCAATTTGAAGCTTGAAGTTTCTAGTTTTGATATTTTTAGATGAAAAATGTGCAACGCTCAATCCTAACAAATACCTACCGTAATAAATGACTTTACCACCAATAAATAAATGTTCTACAAGAATTTGCTATTGTTTTTTTGAAAAAAAAATTCCATACTCTACATGAATTTGAAAAATCATTGGTGGCTTTTTGAAAAATCAAGCGCTGAATCAAAAATATTATATGTAGTTACTTTTTTTAGGACCAAATCAAAACAGGCGCGGCCCTTATTGGTCAATTCGGCGGTGGTGGCGCGTGCATAGCGCGAGACTGTATTTACATTTACTAATTATCATTTAGTGGCTAATTTTAGTCCATGAAACCTAAAAATTTAGGCAAATGGGACTAATCTTGAAAAAAAACCTAAAATGTGAAAAAAACCATTTGAAAAAAATCAATGAAAAAAAAACCTAAAAAAAAACAAAAAAAACGGACCGTTTTTTTTCAAGTCGCATCTCTAAGTGTAATATACTATTCTTTGCCTTTGAGGGAAAACTTTCTCGTCAACGTTCTCTACTTCAATCAGAGTCATTCGCAACAACATCTTTAAAACTCATACTTGAAAATTAAAACATCTAACGCAAAGGATTAGCGAGATAAGAATAAAAAACGATAGCCAATCCCCATACATGACCATAGAGAATTTTTTAAATTGCTAGGATACTTAGGATGCATTGTTGATAATATAATATGTAAAATCCACTTCATTGTGACACTGCTGTCAATTTTTGTTCCTGTCATTAATTATCATTTTAAGTTGTTTTCCTCCTTTGATTAAGCCGAATGCCTTTGATGCAAATAGTAGGAAGAGCATAAGGAAAGTTACACGTGACTTTCCCGTTCACAATTCAGAGGGTTGTAAAGGACGTTCATTTTACGCAAGGGCAGCACCTGCAGCCAGAGATAATTCCGCTAGAGTGGAATTATGTAGTGGTTGCTAGGGCTCTGGGTAAAGAACTAGTTGTTTAATTTTTACTTTAAAACATTGGCGTCCTGAAGTATGACATTCCTTTTTTATATGTTAGTAAACCCAGTCGGACAAGGGATTAAGACAACAATGTTCTATCGTCTCCTAGCAATTTTAAAGCTCCTACGTTTAACCTAGGCGAGATCTATCGGTATCGGCTGCCGCTTTTTTGCTCTCATTTGATTACACTTTTACCTAGAAATTATTAGTTTTTAAATTTGGCATCTTCATTGCTATCAGCACGCCCCCTTTTTCTCCGTGGCGCGAGTTCTGGGACGCCCTGTAAATTATCACGCACAATAGTAATTTTGCTTTCACATGTACGGTTCTTGCTGAGAGCTAAACGTTGTTCCTACAGTTTCCCCTTCGTAAAATTAAAAAATTATTCATTATCAAATAACGTAATGTAAAATATAAGATTTTAGAAAATATTTCTATGGGAATTATAATAATGCGATTACGACTAAAGTTGGGGCAGTTTTCATCTTTTCTCGACTACTTTTCCGATGCCCACGCCTTCAGTTTTCCATCGCGACTTTTTCGCATTTTATATTTTTATACGTTCCGTTGAAAATTTTAATAGACTCGAGCTAAAACGAATAACAAGGAATCTTATGCAGTGTGAATATTAATCGACTTTTTTGTGTGTTTATTTTTATTGAAGTTGTTTAAAATGAAATCATGCAAGTTTTAAAAAAACAAGTTTTAATACGACGAATAGAAAACAAATATAGGTAATACTGATGAAAAGTTACGTTTATAATATTTTTATTAGTTAATAATAATACTTAACTGTACAAAATTGTATAAAATATAACATTCAAAATAACAAAATCTATACTCTCTTTGAAAATACATAACACTCTTAAAACTGATATTTAAGTAAACTGCCTACCCAATAAGGCATCGATATATTTTTGCATAAAACTTCTACCCACAGGTTTTCTACTTTGGGATTCTTCTTTGAATTTTTTCCATTCTTCGTATCTATCTTGCCTTTTGGGTCTCCATTTATCATGACTGAAGAAATTTGACCAAAACTACAAATTTTAGTTAAAAACTGTTGCAGATATTGGCTTTTAAATATAGATGTACTTACACCGTTTTTAGAGGTTTTTCTGGCATGATATGCGTAATAAGATATCCAACATATCGCCTGAAGAATTCCAAGTCCCAGAATACACCACCCAGCAGCTAAAGACAAACAGATAAGTACCAGAGCTTAAAAAACCAAAATTCAATTCGCTATCTTTACTCATAAGCGGTCTTGCACACATAGATTCGACATAAAAGAATAATAAACGTAGTGGATCGAAGTTATGGTAAACAGGCTGAGAGGCTCAGTGACACATTAACGATCTTCGTACAATGAGGTAAAATAATTTGTGTATATGTTTTCTTTTCGCTTAGTATAATAACGACTGGCTGAATAGGGCTGATCCTTCTTTGAAATCAGTACTTGAAAGGAGCAGCTGAATCTTCTTTAAAGTCAGCTGCTTATTTTGAACAACCCGACATGGACGGCAATTCTTCGTTACTGAAGACAAGTAATGGGGTAGCTATAGCTACTATCTGTATGTGCATATTCATGTTCATATAAAATTAATGTTTTTCACAATATTTATTTAATAATTTATAAAATATAAAGGTTATTTTATTATGTAGGTAATTTATATCTGCTTTATTTTTAACAAAACCGTATTTATAATTTTTCATCCTCTATAAATCAATATCTACATTCTATTAATGGAAAAAATGTACGTCACATCTAAATTTATTACACATTTTATAGATTATAACCCGGAATGAGAAAATTTTATCACGATCGTTTATATAATATTTTATATAAACTTGACATAAATATAAGAATATATATAAATATGTAGTTATTGTTTATAATTTGGGATCAATTAAACAGATTTAAAAATTGTTTTTGTATTTTTAAGGTTAAAATACGATTGAAAAATATACATGGTGTTCATCTTACCTGTAATTCCTTCAGGATAGTAATACTGATATATTCCATATTGCAGCGGTTTCAATGTAAAGATAAAATAGAAAAATACAACTATTAAAATTACTGGTGTTATGAAACCCCATGTTATTCTCCAATAGAGCCCCACTTTTTTCTTCGTCATGAATTCCAAATCTTCGCAAAAATTGTCCAATCCTGTTAAAATAACTCTGCTTAACACGTGTTATACTACATTTGTCAAGTAATCAAAATTTTAGATATCTTACCATATATCCACATCACTGCAACAACTTCAAAAATGGCAAAAACATAAGTAAGGAAAGTTCCGCCAAAGAAATCTACTAAATCCAAGATGTATTGCCCTCCCTTAAAATAAAACACGTTAAAGAAGAATATAAAAAAAATATTTTTCTTACCGGTGTTACATAAACAAGTCCAGTAAAAAAACCAACAAGTGCAGTGAACAATGCAATTTTCCACATTTCAATATTGGGAAATGCATCCTTAAGAACTGTATTACATGAGCCAGCAATGGCCACCAAACTACCCATTCCAAGTACGAACAGCATTAAGAAGAATAAGAGAGCAAATAGCTAAAAGTATATATGTTTTTATATTTTTCTTCGATTTGTGTTTCAAGATAAATTTGGTGATCACTTTGTGTTTGAGACTACTCGTTAAATTGATATTTGATTAAGCTATATCTTTTTATATATTATATATTCAATGTGTCAACTAATAAATTGTCATCCTTTGAGGGGATGATAGTACACGCCAAAACAAAAAAGTTTTTCCTCTATCATTTTTGCATTAGAGTTACTATTTTTTAATAAAAAAAAATTAAATGTTTGTGACAAAACCAGGGAGCCACTGGATTTCACTGACCTATCCTATATATCATCATTGTTCTTACCTCTAAAAACAATGATATTATTCATTCAAGCAAAATAGAAACAGGTAAGCGCACAGTGTATTATGTAATATCAAGCAAATTTTTAAACATATTTAAAATCGGTTAGTGGGTACTTTGTTATCATTGATTACTGACAGTTTAGTGTACCAGAGCAAAGTTGACACATTAGAACGACTCCGCGAACTTGTCACTGCAGCGGCAGGTGAAATCCGAAATCACCCGGACATGATAGCAAGAACGACACATCATAATTTTCTACGCCGCTGTCAACTTTGTATGGATAATAACGGCGGAATAGTTGAACATTTATTATGATTTTGTGGAACACTGAAAAAAACAGGTACATGAGCATCAATCGACGTAATTTAAAACCGACGGGAAAAACCACGGAAACGTCAAGATACCTAACAATAAAAAGTAAATATTGTTTTATTGAAAGTACCTAAAAATAGATGAGTATGCATAACAAAAAATAATTATGAACAAAGTAATCAATGATAATACAAACAGAGCTGGGAAAGTTAGTTCTGAAAAGAAACTAGTTACTTTTTTAAGATACTTTAAACAAAATAACTTAGTTACCTCGGGTAACTAAATAATTTGAGTTGAAAGTATATTTAGTTACAAGATACTTTAGAAAGTATTTAAGATACTATCCGAAAGATACCATATGAAATTATCTAAGATTCTTTTGAGTAACTAAGATACTTTTGAGTAACTAAGTTACGTTTAAGTATAAATAAAAACAAGGTTAGGTAATTAATTTGAATCATTCTGTAATTCCCCCAATATTCTCTAAGAAAGTATCTTAGTTACTTAAAAGTAACTTAGTTACTTGAATGTATCTTGGATACTTGATACTTTTTTAGATACAAGTTACAAGATACTTTTCCAAATTAACTAAGTTAAAGATACTTTCTGTCCAATATAAAAAGTATCTAAGATAAAGTATCTTAGATACTTTAAGTATTTAAGTTCCTTTTAAGTATCTTTTTTTTCAAGATACTCTCCCAGCTCTGAACACAAATGTAAATTTTTAATGAATGTAGAAGGTTTTTTCACCCAAGGGCCAAAGCCAACCCACCCACCTAAAGCCTTCTAACAATGTTTTTAAAAGTAACATAACCATTTATTATCAAAATGTTCGGGGCTTAACACAAAATTACCAGAACTTTAACAAATGTTACGCCTACAAATTTTGTTATTTGTTTTACCGAGACATGGTTAAATAGTATCATTCTTAACGAGGCAATTAATCTAACATTATATAATATACATATGTATATAGAACGGATAGGAAGAGATCTACAAGTAGATTCCAACGTGGAGGAGTTCTTATCGCGGTTAAAATTTTTTTTATGTCAAGGTGTGTAAATGTAAATGTAAATCAGTTCCGAAAAGTTCCTAATTTACATAGTGTACATACCGCCACAATCTTGCTCAGAGGTGTATGAGTCGCATTGCTATCGTATCGAAAGTAGAGTTTCCAGATTTGTGGAAGGAGAGTTATATTATTCCATTATTTTAAAATGGAGATACAGCGAATTTAAAAAATTACCGTCCGATATCTAAAATATCACAAATATCCAAATTAATGGAAAAAATTATAAACGATAAAATTACACCATTGTTTAAAAATGTGTTGGTTAATGAGCGACATGGGTTTAGTAAAGGTAAGTCTGCATCCACAAATCTGCTCCTTTATGAACAAGATTTGTTAAATGCTTTGGAGAATCGAAGTCAGGTGGATTATATCTATCAAGGCATTTGACACAGTCAACCATCGGGTCCTACTAGCCAAAATGAGGGCTTTGGGGGTTTCTGGAAACTTTTATTTTTGGTTGGAAAGCTACTTAAGTCTAAGAACACAAAGAGTAGTTTTACAAAATCAATTTAAGTTAAAAATTAGGATTACTGCAGGTGTACCACAAGGACATATCACTCCTCTCTTATTTAAATTATTTATAAATGATATTGTCTGTGGAGTTAAATTCTGTAAGTATCTTTTATTTACAGATGATCTGAAAGAAGTTAATTCAAATTCAACTATGATGCGATGCAAACTCTATATATGGAATTAAATATTAATAAATGTAAATGTATCAGTTTTTATAGAACTAACAGTTATATAGTATATCCGTACTCTATAAATAATATCATTTTGGAAAATGTTAATGTTTTCAAGGATTTAGGTGTTTATTTTGAAAGTAATATGACATTTGTCTACCATATTGATTTTAAAATGTTAGGATTTGTGAAAAGGAGTATGAAAGATTTTAATAATATTCAATGTGTTAAAACTGTTTATATGTCCTTCGTACGTAGTATCCTAGAGTATTGTTAAGTAATTTGGTCCTCTTTTTAGGTTCAAATTAAACATTAAATGTAAATATAGTTTGGATTTAGTTAGAAAAGCAACAGATTTAGATTTGTTAAGTAATAGAAGGACAGAGTCTAGTCCTATTTTTCTATATAAATTATTAAATAACTTAATCAATTGTCCAGAGTTGTTACAACAAATAAGTTTTAACGTACCAATGAGACGCACAAGACATCCTGAATTATTTTATATAAAAGCATAGAACCGAATATGCTAAATTCATGCCAATAAACAAAATGTGTTCTAATGCAAACAAGTTTGATTTGGATTTTTTCAATTCCTTATTGGCAGTATTTAAGAGATGTTGTAAAGATAAGGTAAATTGTTAAATTTGTAATTTGTAAAGTGGATTTTTCGTTAATAAAGCTATTATTATTATTGCCAACTGTGCAAGCATATTTTGCGTCAGTTGTCTTAGGTCAGGAATAACCAGTGGCGGCCAAAAATGTTTACTTTACTTATAAAAATTTTAATGATTTTTTTATGAAAGAAAAATGGCACCAACGCAAAAATGATAGAGGAAAAACTTTCTTATTTTGGCGTGTACTAACATCCCTTTAAAGGACGACAACTTATTTGGTGACACCCTGTATACTAAGGTACCTACCCAAGGAACAGATTCAAATTTGGAAATAGCGTCTGGATATGATATAAAAGCCAAACCAGTACCTCCAGAGTTTATAACTTTATCCGGTGTAACACCAATATTGTACGCTAAATTTCCCAAAATACCGAAAATCGTAACACCCGATAATAAAGATGTACACGTGTCCAAGGAAGTTACAACCAAAGCATCCCTTAAAAAAGAATATAATTAACGGATGTGATTCTATATCAATTATAAACATGTTTCAAATGAAACCAATGGTTGTTCGCTCAATAATAAAAGTAAACGTTGTTTTTTAATTTGGGCCATGTAGATTTTACACAGAATTGTTTTTCTCATTACTGCAGAGATCACCATGCAGGTTTATATCGGTTTTTTCTAATTACAAAAAAAGCAAAACCATTTAATCCCTCGAACTAAGTTGATTAAAACAATCGTGGTAATTGTGTCAATATCTCTTTTTAATTGAATATCTGTTTTATCTAAACAATAGAGCAATTTAGTTCTAATTTTTAGGATGAATACACGATACACAAAAACCGGTATGCTGGTTATGAAACGATAACCCGTCGATTCCGCGCATGTGACGTCACGTGCGAACCAGATTCAAATGTTACAAACAGTTTTGCATAGGCATAAGCTGTGCATGGGTGTTTAACTACGATTTCTTTTGAGTTTTTTTGAAATTATTGTGTTTTTTTAAGTATAAGCCACGCACAATGGTTTTGCAACGTTTTTACTGCAGTTATTGAATAGCAAAAACTATTTACAAGGTTAACCAGATTCAAATGTTACAAACAGTTTTGCATAGGCATAAGCTGTGCATGGGTGTTTAACTACGATTTCTTTTGAGTTTTTTTGATATTATTGTGTTTTTTTAAGTATAAGCCACGCACAATGGTTTTGCAACGTTTTTACTGCAGTTATTGAATAGCAAAAACTATTTACAAGGTATTTATAAGCCACGCACTGGTGTTTTAAACCAGGTTATTTATTAAGTTTGTGTTATATTTGTTGGCTGTAGCAGACAGCAGAAATATGAACAGAAACTCCCAACCTAACCTAATTAGCATTTTTTGTTCCCAAGCAGAATTTTTTGTTCCAAAAACCATTGCCAAAGTGGTGATAACTTTAAATTAGTTAAGTATACTAAACAGCTACTTTAATTTTTACTTAAAAGTAATTTTAACTTTTAAATAGCAATATTTTGTAACAGTAACTTAATTTTTCCTTAAATGGTTACTATAAAGTAATAAACATTTAAGTAAAACTTGGTTGCCCCCAAGAAGACTTTGCAACTTTAAAAAAGGTGTTATAAGTAAAAAAAACTTTCAAGTAAATTTAATTTGTAGCAGTTACTTTCGGTTGCTACCTAAAGATTACATTATAATTATTTTTACTTTGTAGTCCCTTTCCAAGTTAAAATCTCGAAACTGGAACATGAGTTAAAAACTACAAAGTTAATAACTTAAAAGTTATTATTTTAGTATTTGGAACGTTTATGGTACTAACCAAAACAACCGTAAAGTGGAAAAAACTTTAAAGTAGCGAAAACTACTTCAAAGGAAAATGCTTCTTATCGGCCATTTTTTACTGTACAGTACCACGTGGTAATGTAAATAATAAATTATTTTAATTGTTTGTAAATGGTTGTTTACTTTTTAATAAATAGTAATTTTGTTGGCAATAGACGGTATTAATAATGAAATCAAAAAATTAATAATAAATATTAAATTTTTTTTATTTATAAACATTATTAAATAAATAATTTGTTTATACTTAAATATTGATGAAGCGCATTTATTTTACAAAAACTAAATTCATAAGTTCAACAGTAAAATTTAAAGGGTTTATAAATTTACCTGCCTAATTAAACATTATATTGTTATTTTGGAAGTTATAAACTACCAGTACATATTTAATAAACGACGACATTGAAAAGCCAAGTCCGTATTGGTTCCATTTAAAAGGGAGGGATAGTAAAATCTAATATAAGTTTGACAAAGACAGTTAATATAGAAGTAAAAACAAATAAATAAAAGTAATTATAACGCTCTAGCAACGATACTGGAACGTTCTAGTAACGTAGCAGCTACGTTCCAAATAGTAGCAGGGTTTATAGCTAGTTACATATTTGCTACCTTTTTGGAACTCAATAATTGTTCCCCACTTTAGTCGTAACTTAGTAATAAAAGAGTAATATAAAGAGACCGGCGACTGTCGCAAAACACTTTAAAGTTTCTTCAATAGTCCCATATACGTAACAAATACTTAAATTGTTGCTTGGGAACATTAAATATTTCCAAAAAATAAAGATCTGGTAGCACAGTGGATGAATGCATACAAGACAAAGGATAAAATGAAAAAAAACGGTAAGAAAAGGCAATTTTTGGTATACCCAATTTTCTGTTGGGTACTTATAGTCAAAGATAATACCCTCCATAGTTTGGAAACTCTCCCACCAATGCCTTTTAGAGCTACAATACCTAAACAATATCTATTTGTAAATTGCAGGTATCTGTACAAACGCTAATTGAAAATGTCAATATCGATCATTACTATTGATGTCAATTATAATTATTGAGTTATTAAATACATTTTTGCACCTTAAAGCGATAAAACGTGTTAATGGTTATAAAATGTATTGTTGTTGGGTGCAGATCTGCATTTCGAAATGTAACCAATTTGTAAGTATTGACTATCCTGCGGTTCTAAGCCAAAAAGACGCATCTCATTATTATTATTAAGTTACTCTATTAGAAAAAAAGATGCATTATATATATAAGAACTTAAAAATTGCTAATTAAATTGAACGTATCTTAGGAAAAAACAATTAAGCGCAATAATTTATAAAGTAAAAATGTTGAGATGCGTCTTTTTGGCTTGGGACGGCAGTATCGCTCTAGCGTAAAAATACTGTTTGTAAATTATGAATTATTTAGGATTGCTTGTTTAATGGTAATTTGTCCAGGCCAAGTCCAGGCTACTTATGGTTGTTCCAAAGCCAAGTGCTGGCAAGATGGATTTTTCACGGTTGGTTAGAACTTGCCAAAAGTCCACACTCAAAAGCCTTGTACAAATTCCTATATGTTAAGTTTAAAATCGTGACTAAATTACCAAATTGCAATATTCTCTTATTATTGAAGAATTAAGACTAATAATTTTTAGGTTTGCACTCAAACAAAAACATATTCATGAAATTAATTTACATTTGGTAACATACATTGACTGCAGCTGACCTAGACTTACCATAACTATTGTAATATACACCGATTATATGTATAATGTGTACATATAGATTTATGTATTGTATTTTTTATTATACAAGGTGTTCCTAAACTTATTGGCATAAATTTAGGAAAAGATTGAGCAAGTCAAAATAAGACGAAAACCCAAATAAATATTTTTCCTAATTACTTATGTTTCCAAGATACGGGGTGATAAAGTGTTACTTATCAAATCAGTTTTTTTAATATAGCTTCTACTATGGTAGTCTTGGAAAGGTGATATTTTGCGAACAGTCACTTACTACCAAAACATATTCACACATAATTATAATTGTTTGAGAGAACACAGTGTCGTAGAAACGGGGGTTGCTTTAAGCTTATTGTCCCATACAAACTTTGAGGTTAGGTTTTTATAACATTTGATGCAATTTTTCGATTACCCAGTTCGTCTACCATTAAAAAGGTGTACCTCTCAAACTTCGATAAAATAAACCGTTTCCGAGATATTCGAGATTACAATAATTCTTTTATCGCAATATTTAAAAGGACTAAAAGGTATATGATAACAAATTTTATTTTTTAATTGAAAAAACTAAAAAGGGCATTCCATGCGCCTCGGGACTTTTGCCCTGACCGTCAAATTAAAAAAATTGTAGTTTTTTCAATTGAAAAATTTGTTATCATATACCTTTTAGTCCTTTAATGTGATATAACAATTATTGTAATCTCGAATATTTCGGAAACGGTTAATTTTATCGAAGTTTGAGAGGTAGACCTTTTTAAAAGAAACCAAACTGAGTAATCGAAAAATTGCATCAAATGGTATAAAAACCTAACCTCAAAGTTTGTATGGGACAATAAGCTTAAGCAACCCCCTGTTTCTACGACACTGTGTTCACTAAAACAATTATAATTATGTGTGAATATGTGTTTTGGACCAAAAGTTTTGGTAGTAAGTGACTGTTCGCAAAATATCACCTTTCCAAGGCTATAATAGTAGAAGCTATATTAAAAAAAACTGATTTGATAAGTAACACTTTATCAATCTGTATCTTTTAAACATACGTAATAAGGAAAAATATTTATTTAGATTTTCGTCTTATTTTGACTTTCTTAATCTGCTCCTAAATTTATTCCACTAAGTTTAGGGACACCTTGTAGGTATTATAACTACAATTAATAAATCTTTTATTCATACTTGTTTTATTTAAAATACAGCAGTAAATACAATATATAAAGGCAACCCACGAAGCATTAACATTCAAATATGGCGCCAATATATGTTACAGAAATGGCGTAACCTTTACTTTACTTTAATTTAGCCTCTTGCCGTTAGCGCTAGTGCAGTTTCCAATCTATGGGGTGTATTTGCTTATAGTATGTTTTCACCCTAACCATATATTTTTTTACAGCTTGAATAAGTTCTTACCACAGGTGGTCTGTGGTTCTTACTAATAATAAAATAGTGTCACAAGTAAAAAAAGCAGTTTTTTTTTTTTTTACTTTTGTCAGTTATTATTACGTTATTATTACCTATACCTATTATTACCTATACCTATATACATGCATTTTTATAATTTTGTTACCTTTAACATTAAAAAAATATAAAATTCGGTATAGCGTAAGTTAAGTTAATTCAATTAAATAAAAAATATTAGGAAGGTAAGAAATTAATGGTTGCTTAAAATATGTTACATATGTAATATGTAAGTAATATTAGTATTAAAACTTTTGGTTCGCAGATGACGTCACACGGTGCGAGAGAGATAGCTAGCATCAGCATACCGGTTTTTGTGACTCGTGGGATGAATAAAGACTATCTAGAGTATTCTCGGCTTGTTCCTACCTGTTAATATTGTGATCAAAGTTGTTGTACGAAGAATACATTATAATTGAACCAAACCCAACGTTTAGAGAGAAGAAGCACTGCGTTATAGCAGCGTACCACACCTATAAAAAATTATTTTTTTGTAAATATCGTGAAAATTGTCACTTAATTCGCGACCATTAAATAACGGTGCATCACCCCCGTATATCTTACCTTTGCGTCCATCAATTTTCCCCAATCAAACTTGATGAAAAAGTACATCCCGTCGGCTGCGCCATCCAGCGTTGCCGCTTTTATCAACAGAGTTATCATGATGACGTAGGGGAACAACGCCAGAAAATAGGACGCTTTGCCTGAACTCTGAACCCCCTTAATGCTGACAAAGTACATCATGACCCACGAGGCAAGCAGACAGAGCGACAGCCGCCACTCTGGGACCCCGATACCCGCTCCTATATCATCTGTCTCGTGGAGGACTTCGCGCCTGAAAAAAATATCTATAAAAAATATAATGTCTAGTAACAAGTAACAATAACATAAAAATCTTAAATAACGTACTTCTTGTCAAAGACGTTGGTATATCCACTTTACTGAAAACAGTAGAGCTTATTTAAAGCTTAAAGCATAGAGCACGACAAGTTCTTTGTAACTAAACCTTTGAGTCCTTATATGCTGTTTCGAAAATGGATTTTTATCCTGCTACTTTGTTACATTCTTTTTCTTTTTTGTTGGTATTTACTTATAGTGTTCATATTTTTTGTATGTGTAATAAAAAGTGACTTACTTAAACCACATTTCTGATGAACTGATGGTGTTAAGTTGACTTCCAGACTTCTCCTCGGCTCCTATGCATGTCCTGTTGATTTTCGCTAAGTAAGGAATCCACTCGTTCTGGCAGGTGGCCCATGGAAGTTCGGACGTAAAGGAATTCACGAAGTAAAATAATGTTATTGCCATTAAACAGCAGTAATAGGTGGCGACGCATATGCTGCTTAAGAGTTGGCCATAACCTATACCTAAAAGAAAAATATATGTTCTCTCTTAAAATGAAATAGTCAAAATTGTACTATTTGAATGAGTACCACACTGTTAAAATTGTAATTTTACTAAACATGTTTAGGAAGTTTTTACGCACCACAATATAGTAATAATAAAACTTAGTTTTGTAAATTCACTACACGATTCATAAAAACTCAATTTGTGATAATTACAAAACGTTTGTAGCAGTTATTAAAAATTTGTTCGGTAACATTACTATACAGGTATTGTAATGTTGCTAAAAAAATACTAAATGTGTAATTTTAAATTGGTTTATTGTAATTATACTATTCAATTATTTTCAACTCAGTTTAAGAAAATTACAAAATATACCTATTTTACAATTTTACTGAACTGAAGAAAATTCGTTTCGCAATATTACAATACAAATATTGTTATTTTGTACAACAAATTACACTAAAAATATTTAGTAATTTACGAATGATGATATTGTAATTATACTACGAAAAAAAACCTGCAATTTTCTTAGTTTCTTCTTTCTTGACCCATTACTGTAAAGATTTAAAAAAATTGAACCTTCACCTCGTCAGAGTTTTTGTTTTTAGTGAGTTCCACCAACTTCAAATACCGACAGACAGCTAGATAGATATACCTATATTGGGTCTTATCAATGTCGGGCAATTTGAAAACACACCAAAAACGAAAGACACCTGAGCTTATATACTGTCCACCTAAGTCAACCGAGGCGAGATTTAAGAACATCACGTGATTGCCGCAATCGGTACATACTATGCATTTTACATAACGTTATAGCAAATCAAATTACAAACAACGTTTGTAAATCTGAGATGCTTTTTATTAGAAACTGTCAAACTGTTTAGTAAAATTAAAATGCTTGTAGGATTTATTGGAACCTGTTTAGTACTTTGGCTATAACAAAATTTAATATTACAACAAATGCGTATTAAAATTGCAATACAATACAACATTTTGTAATTTTACTATACAACTGCTTAGTAAAAATGTAGTAATTTTATAAACATGTTTAACAGTGCAGCATTGTTTACTTATAAAATAGTCGTTTTCACTTTTAAATAGTTATTTTTTACTACTTAAATAGTATTGTTAAAGTAAAACGCATGTAGGCTCCATGGTTAAATGGCTCATAAAAACAAACAAAGATGCAAAAAATTTAGCTCAAACCAGCAACACAAAAAAGATATTTAACTTTAAAATATTATTAACAATGTGTATAGACAAATATATATATATATATATATATATATATATATATATATAACTGAATTTTATAAAAGTAGCTGTGGCGCAGCGGTTAGACATCCGCTTAACAAGCGGCAGACCCGAGTTCAAACCCCGGCTGGGTCCAAACTTTTTTAAATTTAAATCTACCATTTTTGTGACTGCAGTGCATGCTTTTTCGCTATGACAATTAGGTAGTCAAATATGACTTATAATTAGTCATTTTTAACTAATTTATTTTAAGAGAGTATACTCTTAAAGTCCAACGCAGGTACCCACCAATAGAATAAAATTATACTTACATTTAAATACTGGTGACAACCCAGAATACATCTTGACATTCCCTCGGCTTGAAAACTGCCCCAACGTCATCTCCATGTAATAAAGCGGTCTTCCGACCACCGTTAAAATAATGAGGTAAGGTATCAAAAAGGCGCCCCCGCCATTTTCATAGGCAGTGAAAGGAAATCGCCAAATATTGCCCAGACCAACTGACATGGCGATACAGGACATCAAAAATTCAATACCGTTGCCCCATTGCGCTCTTTCCGCCTCTTCTGGAGGTTTACCCTGAGAAGAATAGTGTCAATTGGTGTTTTGGTTTTTTGGTAATGTTTAAATTAAAACTGTTATTAACTATAAACACATTTATTATTATTTTAAAATTTTCATAATTAATTTAAAAAAAAAATGAAAATTTTTATTTATAGATTCTAGATAAGGTCTTTATTACAACTTTAATGAACAATAAAAATTTTATTGTTTATATTTAATATAAGTTTTTACTTCTAATTTGTATATTTATAGTTTTATTTACTTTTGTACATGGGTTTTTTTTATTACATAATATTGTAATTATAGTAGGTACTTAAAACCCATGTTAATTTTTTTTGTTTATTTTAAATTGATATTTCTAAGAAAACGCCTTTAACTCTTAACAGCAGACTAGTATGTATTTTGATACATGTGGGTGTTTATTATTATAATTATGGATGTCAGAACTTACGTTTCCATGTTCATTTCCTAATTCAATATCTCCATTTGTTTCAAAGGCAAAATTATCCACGCCGTTTTTCTGAAAAAATAGGTATAAGTAAGTAATATTTTACTATAATCAGCAAAATAATTCACAACAAAAATAGTTTTAATAATAGTTTTTTAAAATTATGAGTTGTACCAAAGCAGAAAATCCTCAATTTAATGTGTATGTTTTTAGTGTATTTTTTGTATTAGATTTATAAAGACTTACATTGCTATTCATGCTGATTAGTTTTAATATTTTAAATAATGCTTACAGTGATATTTAATGAACCACGCCCAGGCAAACAGACAGGCGTTTAAAATTTTGTGAAATAATGACTAATAAAGTGTTATTCATTTAGAGGTACTTTTTTCAAAAATAAAAATATTAAAAAAAATAAATTTTATTGGATAAACTATTTCACAAAAAAGAAACGTTCTTTACATTTTTTATTTAAAGATTATTTCTTTCAAATGTTGGCCGTAACTGCGGTTACGATGGTCCATTCTGAAATTCTGGCCAATAACTCGAGTAATGTTGGCTTCCAATTTATCAATCGTAGCCGGTTTATCCATGTGGACTTTGGACTTTACGTAGCCCAAAAAAAATGTTCAAAGGAGTGATATCACATGACCTAGGCGGCCAATTCACCGGTCCAAAGCGGGAAATTAACTGTTCGACGAATTGTTCTCGCAATAAAGCCATGGTTTCACGGTCTGTGTACCACGGGGTTCAATTTCAGGCAGCAAATAGTCCCCCACAGTTACGTTCCGGCCGGCCTCATTTTTGAAGAAATATGGACCGATAATTCCTTAAACCACACCAAACCGTTGTTTTGTCTGGATGTAATGGCAGCTCTTAAACCTCTTCTGGTTGCTCTTCAGCCCATATACGGCAATTTTGCTTATTGACATAGTGACATATATAAGCCAGAAATTGGCCTCATCGCTGAACAAAATTTTGGTCGAAAACAGTGAATCTTCTTAAAGCTTTTCAAGAGCCCAAAGACTGAAACGGTGAAGGTTTGGAAGGTCAGCCGGTTTAAGATCTTTCATCAGTTGATTTTTTTATGCTTTTAAACCAAGATCACTACGTAAAATACGCCAAGTTGTTGCATATGACAAGCCAAGCGGAATCGATTCATCACAGTCATCGCGTTCACTTTTAGCTATCTTTTATTCACGTGCTGGATGTGGTCTATTTCGTCGCGTATTATCTAATAATGAAAATTGGCTTTCAAATTTTTGGATGGTAGAGCCAATTGTTCGTTCGGAAGGCCGATTATGTAGACCATAAGTTGCTCTAAGCGCACGAAATACATTCCTCGTAGAACGCTCGAAATACAGTTGAATAATTTGTAGACGCTGTGCCATACTTTCCATGATAAAATGTCAAACAATACTAAACAAAAATATCAGTTTGACACAACGCACGCCTGATCTGTCATAAAATACCTACTGAAAAAAGTACCTCTAAATGAATCACCCTTTATAATAACAAATCAGATCCAAATACTAAAAAACATTTGCTTCAGCGATAAGTACTTTTTATTTAAATGGAAAAGTTCTCGTTATTGGAGCAATGAAAATCCTCATCTTACCAGAAAATATCAAACGCAGTATCCTGAATACTTAATCTTTGGGTAGGAATTATGGGAGATTGTATTATTAACCAAATTTTTTAAAATGTTGGATGAAACAATACAGCCAGTGATAATAAATAAACTAGAAAATCAAAGAGGAGAGGATGATAAACTAGCTTTAGATGAAAATTATTACATTTTCAACAAGATGGGGAACCACCTCATTATATAATAATAATAATAATAGTAATAATAATAATAATAATAATAATAATAATAATAATAATAATAATAATAATAATAATAATAATAATAATAATAATAATAATAATAATAATAATAATAATAATAATAATAATAATAATAATAATAATAATAATAATAATAATAATAATAATAATAATAATAATAATAATAATAATAATAATTTATTTGCCCAACAGAACAATACATTCCAATAATAGGACAAACATATACAATTATATGCAAATAGAGAACATTAGGTTTCAAATATATCTTTAGCAATAGTTAATAAATAAAAATTAATTAAATAACAAATCACATAAATAGCTTATTAAATTGTAGTTGAAACCTGAACTGGTGAGTATGCTATCATTGCAGTACGAGCATTATTGCAATAAAACATATTACTATTGCGAGAATTAAGTCTAGAAACATGTAGATTAAAGATAAATAAGATATCAAAACAGTCAATGTCATTGTGAAAAACTTTGTACAAAAATTTGAAACCAGAACCTACTCTTCGAAAATGCAACGAATCAACATTAAATCTTTCAAGTAATAATTGATGATCAATGCCCCTGTTCGGGTACACATTATCCAGCCTAAATACCAGAAGTTTTAAAAACACGTTGAACATTTGCAAGTAATATAAGAGTTATTATGGTGCGGAGACCAACTAATAGAGCAGTATTCAATTTTAGATCTTACTAAACAGAAATTACAGAAGTATAAGGATTTTAAAGCGATTTCAGTTTTAAATCCGCGCGAATTTACATGCTTGGGAAACTAAATTTTGTATATGACTCGAGAATGTTAATTTATTATCAAATAATACGCCAAGATCATTAAAACTTTCACAAAAAGAAAGAACATTATTGTTTAAAGAGTATTCAGATGATTCTGCAGTACAATGCAATCTTCAATCGTTGTTATTCTAGCAAACAACCTTAAATCATCGGCAAATAGGAGATGTTTACAGTTTAACAAAGACGACAAATCATTAATAAATATATTAAACAGCAAAGACCCAAATTTGATCCCTGAGGGACTCCAGACGTAGGAACAAAACAACTAGACCTAAAACTATTAAAAAATACGTCAAGTTGGCGGTTACTAATGTAAGAGCGAATAAGATTACATAACGGTTTACTTAGACCAATAGAATCAAGTTTACAAAGTACTTACCTAAGATAGTATGATTAACTTTATCAAACGCCTTAGAGAAGTCTGTATAAATTACATCCTTTTGATCCAAAACCTTGCTGATAGGGTGAGATGCTCTGGGAAATACCATTTTAGATGTAAACATATAATGACTTCTCAAAAAGCTTCGACGGTTGGACAAAATCGCAATGGGTCTATAATTACAAATGTCGTGATAATTGCCCGCACAGAAAAAACGCTAGCATAGCATGAATGGGTGAGCCATTAAACCAATGAGATCTTGTAATCCGTATTCCCATAATATCAATAGGTAGTTAGCACTTGGTTTATAATCGTTTACTGTTTTTAAATTAACAACAAAAGTTATCGCTCCTAAATCTATTGATATTTATATTGATATTTATTTGTTAGAATGTTATTGCATTAAATACTATTTTGATTTATTTAATAACGTTACTATATTACTATATATAGTATGTATACTATGTATACATTTAACGCAATAAATTCTTTGACATTTAGGCAAAATGTTTTCCTATTTTGGTTTATTAGTAATTAATTGAGCAAATAACAATTTAGATTGCTTCAATTTTAATGCATTCAATGAGAGCGCTGTTCTTGGAACTATGTTAGATTTTTTTATGTGCGCTTTAAAGATAGGAGTGACACGAGTGACTTTCCATAATGAAGGAAATTTGGAAGTTTTTAATATTATATTAAAAATAGTAAGAAGAGGTGAAACTAACAGATTATGGAAATCTTTAATGAAGAAACTGGGAATTTGATCATGACCACAGTAGCTGTTAGGGCTTGGCTGGATCAAAAGAGGACCGATAAAATAGCCTCCCAGATTTCCAGACCATTATACTTTTGTTAGAATTATTTTGTGTCCTCCAGTTTTTTTACTAATATTTTAACGACAACAATATTGTAAAAGATATCATTTTAAAAACAATGTAAGTAAATATGTATATCAAAATACATACCTACTCCAAGGGCAAAGTTGAAAATCCTATTACCTAGATATTAATTAAATAAATATGTGCAGGAAGTAAACTAGATAGGTACCTAATTATATTAAGCAATTCAATGCATTTCATGCTACTTTATACGAGAGTTTTAACAAATTTTCCGTAGCAAAATAAAAAAGTTTTTAAATTGCTTTAAAAATTAATTTCAAAATTGTATTATAAGAATAAATAACAAACCACAAACTATTTATATACAATTTACCTAGAATATTATTTTAATTTGTGTTACTTTTTTTATATTCATTAAATATTTATTGCAAAAAAAAACAAAAATATTATTTGTTTAATTTAAATTTAAATAGTTAAAAAAAATTTTTTCAAATTTTTATAAAAGAAAACACTTTTTTACTAACCTTAATATCACTAGTCATGTTTGCTCTATTTTTTAATAAATTTACTAATAATTAAAATTTTTTAAAATCCCTTTCATTTAAAGTTTTTTCTCGGGGTTACAACCTATCAAACATTCACTTTCAACAGACACTTATCACGGATCACTTTGATTTGTAGGTAACCAGGTATCCCGATTTTATGCGCTAAAGCAGAATAACTGTTTATTATATCCAAGTGATTTATTAAAAAAATGGTGGGGAAACATGGCTGTCTTTAGTTTTATTATCCGTCTGAGCGATTATTTACATTGTTTTTTAATCATCAAAGTCTGAGCCGAAATACCACGCACGAAAATTGCAAAGGTGTAGTAAAAATGTTGTACATTTTTAAGTCTAGAAGTTATGTAAAACAATAAAAATGCCAGTACAAATTTTGATTTGTGATTTTTTAATAAAGCAGGCCAAAACATTAGAAAATGTACATTTTAGTTGTGGACCAGTGTTTAACATCTTTTTTATGTTTGTTTTATTGCCTCACGAATACTTGGTATGTTTATAAGCCTTGTTATTATAACATATATTATATTTAAACCCAGGATCTCCACTTTTCAAAAAATCCAGATTTAACCAGTAACTTGGCTATTATCATGTAATCATTTTTATTGTTAAGGGTTAAACTATTAAATACATTTTATTGTACCATAATCACAAGGTGAGGTTTATAATTTTATATTGCACCACTAAAACATATTTTCAATGAGAAAATTTTATGCATGTCATCCCGAAATTATTACGGTTGAGCATGCTTGGCCTCCAAACTCGCCTGATTTTAACCCTATCGACTATTGAGTGTGGACATGCTGAAGACGTAGTTATTGTTAAAGTAATCTTTATTTAATAAAATACAATATCGAATTAAGGGAGAGTTTGCAACAAACTTGACGAGCTCCTATATAAACTGAATACACTACGAATTTGCTGTTTCAGTAGTGTTTAAGGAGTTGTAAAGTTGATAATACCGAGCACAGTTTGGTCCTCAAGGGTTTAAACAGTAAGGAAATTAACTTTAACGTTAAGCTACTTTCACAGAATTTATTTAAGTTTTAATAGATAATAAACGATGTAGATATTTTTTTAACCTATTAATAAAAATGATATTGATACAAAAGTATATTTTTATTAAATTGTTTTATTTTATGGCGCTTTTAAAATGTACCAGGAATTGTAAAACATAATCCATATTTATGTTTTATAAACATTTTACTATTAAAGATTATATTTAAGGATATGTTTTATTATTTTATTATAGGTATACATTTTATCACTTTGCAGCTAACATAACATTACAACGTGTATAGTTAATGCTGTTTAATTTATAAATAAATATTTTTTGAATTAACTTACAATCATTGCAATATGTACACAAACTGTTTTCTTTAACAAAAATATCATTTGTTGTTTTATTACACAATAAATAATTTATTATTACACACATACATACATACAAACAAAATTTATAATTAAGTTAAAATATTAAACTATCTTTGATGATCATTATCTGTCCAATAAAATGCATATCTTTGATTTAAGCCAGCCTCTATTTTTAAGTCTTAGATCCTGGGCTTTTTTAAGTTTGAAATCCTGCCACTCCCGAAATTTCGTAAGGTCCTTAGGACCCCATCCTTTGTGTTCTATGAGCTCCTTCACAGACTAAAAATAATACAATTTAAGTGAAAAATACACTGCGCGTCAAAATTACCGCGTAACAAGTAAAAAAATCAAACTCTAAAACGCCTTTACCAATCTTTATAAAATTTTGGATAAAAATAATTAACTTATATCTCAGTTTACGTGTTCAAGGATTTTTCGAAAAAATATCCTTAAAGCCCTTTTATTTAATAATAAAAAACGCTCGAAAAAAACTTTTATAGGGAATTTTTTTTAGTAAATAAAAAATATGCTGTGAAAGACCGTATTTTTGTAAGTATACCCTGAAAATGTTGTACAAATCAAAGGAAAATACAGCGCCTCAAAGTCTTTTCGAGCAAAATAATCAAAAAGGGGTCATTTTTACCGAATTGAAGCGCTGTAAAAATTCCCTAAAAGTTATTTTTTGAACGTTTCTTTATTATTAAATAAAAGGGCTCTAAAAATATGTTCTCCAAAAAGCCTCGAACACGTAAACTGTAAGTTGAAGTATATTTATACAAAATTTCATAAAGATTGGTAAAGGCGTTTTAGAGTTAGAATTTTTTTTACTTATGCGTTCATTTTGACGCGCATTACTATATAAAACCAAAATTAAACATTTTTTCTATACAGAATGTCAAATAAATAACTATCTCGTTTCGCGCATACTAAAAATCTCGAAGTTAGGCAACACACTGCACAGACTCTAACGGCGACCATTTTTATGTTGTTTAAAATTGTTGTGCTTCGGGTTTGTAGTCTTTATACACCCAAGCAACACACTCATTTGCATAATCGTTTAATAAACGTATAATAAACCATTTAATCGTATATTTTTGGTTTTGGTATAATTATTTAACATATATTAAGCGTTTTTTATAAACGTACATATTTCAGTCGTATATTCTACGTACTTGATATACTATTTTAAAATCATAAAATTATCAATTTAATATATAAATTTATATTAATCACCCAATCTATATATATATTATAAAAACAACTATAAAGCATGTTTATATATAAATAAGAATTTGGAATTATTTACCCTTATCAAATTTGTTTACATTCAAGTGTTTTGTAAACGTTTTTTTTATATATATATACTTTTATGTAAGCTCAACGTCTAAAAATACGAGAAATCTACGTCTAAAAATACGAGAAATCTACGTCCTTCATAATACTTGTATACATATGTTCATGGTTCGCATTGTTTCGGTATTACTCGTACCTAAGACGATTGTTTAAACCAATAGGCGCGTGTCACGTGATCATTCCTTCTAGACGCTTCGTTTTGCCGTTACCGGTCACATGTGTCCTGTGTTGATAATGGCTGCCGTATAAGTTATGTTTACTGTTTACTGTGAGTGGATAGCGATTAATTTATTGTATTGTTTGGTGGGAATACAGCTAATAGAGTAAGTATACCTACTTTAATTGAAATTTCAGATTACTTAATTTGCACCAAATAACTAATAATTGGTGTTTTTATTTGACAAAGCCGGCAAAAATCCGTAACCTTTGCAGAAGTTTTAACCATGTGACATATTCGTTTTGCATTAAATTAGATGGTTTATTTTTGGATTAGGTTAACATCACTTCAGAATTTTTAAAATAATCAATATTTTTTATTTTTTTTAAAGATCTATTATTGGTTTATGGTATACTATTTATAAACGTACATTATAACCACTTAAAAACACGAATTGTGTTTTTTTATTATTTATTATATTTTTATTTTACCACAGAATAAAAAGTTAAAAGTTATTTAAAATATACGTAAACAGTCGCACTTTTTAGTAACATTGTTTTTTACTGTTTTACAGAGGCAGTGAAACTGTCCTTTCAAGGAAAAGATCAAGTCCAGGGAAATAACTGACAAAGCCATAGGACAAGCCTGTCATGATTGGCTCAAATTATCAAAGCAATGATTCAATGATGTTAAAACTTAACATTTGTTTAATTAGTTATTTTAAAATAATAAATAATTATTTATGAAAATATATTCGTTTGTCATCTGCTCAGTTTCTTTTTAAACTTTTTTTTTACCTTGGAGTTTCTACTACACTTAGGTAAGTTTTTGCAAATCTGGAAAGAATATGCCGCACTTAAATTAAATGCAAAGAATAAATATACCTAGTAAATACTGTAATTTTAATTATCAATGCATTGATAACCGTAAAACCATGCATGGTTTTACGATTTTAATTTAATGAAAATGGAGCTAAAAATATTAAAAAATCATTCAAATATAAAAACTTTTGTTTTTATTTTCTTTTTCCAGATTAGCAGAGCCGCCGCCTAAACAATAATGTTATAACATTATTGTTTAGGCCTTAAAATAATATTCAATATTAACGTATATCGTTTATGGCTTTTAGAAGTTTTTGATAAACATTTAATTTTGGTATATTATATATTAAAATGTAACCTTTATAAAAAACAGATATTTAATTGTCAAGTTTGTATTATAAATAAACGTATAGTGTAGACGTTTAAAATATGGATATTGCTATAATATGCATCAACCTATATTAGGCGGACATTTTAACCTATATTAGAGGTAGACAATAAACCAATGATATACCATTGGTATAGACAAATATTAAACGTCTATTAGACGATTTTGTGTTGCTTGGGCAGATTAAAAATCGTTTTAAAAGTTGAGTTTATTACAGAGGCACTTGTAAGCCTGGAACAACCATTTTAATCCTCTTTTGTAAAAAATAAACCTGGCAAATGTCAATTTGAAGTTAATTTACCTTAACCCACAAATTAACCTTAACATTGACATTTGATAGCATCAAACAACATCAGATTTAAAAATGTTTTTTAATACTTAAAAAAAATACCATTTATTCTAATTTCAATATACGTAATGATTTTAATAACATAAAGTAATCAAATTTTAATTGTGTGGTAAACCTCAATAACAAAACCCAACCTGACAATAAGTAATAAACACCTTTATATAACATGATACTTACTTCTGAACAAGATTTTGTCTTTTTATTTTTGATGAATTCAATAATCATCCATACAACAGGCTGTAGAATGCCAAATCCCAAAAGTACCCAGCCCCAAACTAAAACAAGAAAATTATAAAATATTTAGTATTTTTTTTAAATTAGTAATTTTTATTTTTCTTTTTAGACCGTTTACCTATTATGTAATGTGGATAGGACTTTTCCTCATATTTTAACTCTTCCAAGGTAACCAAAAAGTATACAAAAACAAAAATTAAAGCAACTGGTATAACGATGGCCCAACAGATTCTCCAGTACGGTCCTGGTCTTCTTTTTAACATAAACTCAATATCCAAGCAAATGTTGTTGAGACCTAGAATACATATTTTGGTTAAAGAACCTTTTCAAAATTTAAAATATGTTGATGGACTCACCATACCACCATATGACTGAAACCACCTCAATGATAGTTAAGACGTAGAAAATAAAGGTACCTCCAAAGAAGTCTACCATTGTAAAAATATATTGACCTCCCTGCAACAAATTTATTCAAAATTTGGTTAAAAAATGTTTTTTCTTACTACCTCGGTCGAAAATACGTTGTTTCGTCCCCGATTCCACGGCAGAAAGTTTACGTTTGATGCATTGGTCAAATTTACGTTTGATGCATTGGAATCGGGGACGAAACAACGTATTTTCGAGTATATTACACTACAAGGGCTACGAAGGCTTCGCTCGTGCCGCAAATGTCGGGGCAGGCATCAATATGTTTCGATATACACATTTAATTTTTTCCCGTATTTTTGGCCGGGTTGGGTTGGGTTGTATTTTCGGCCGAGGTAGTAAGAAAAATAGTATACACTACACGGGCAGAAAGTATGAGATTCCTGCACTGCGCAGTGCAGGAATCTCACACTTTCTGCCCTTGTAGTGTAATATACTATTTTGTTTCATACTTACTGGAGTGACGTAAAACAATCCAATCAAAAACCCAAACACAGCAGTTGCTGAAGAAACATGCCAGATTTTTAAGTGTGGATAAGAGTCCATGATAACAGTAAAAAAACACCCTTGCATTGCCACCAAACTTCCAATACCAAGAATGAGGAGCATGCCGAAGAATAAAATTGCAAACAACTAAGAGTTAAGAAAGTTAACATGATATTTTTTAGATGTAATGAAAATAATTTACCCATGGTACCGCGTCAAACCTAGCGATAGCTTCGGGATATGAGATGAAAGCTAGGCCTGTACCTCCTGATTTGATAACATCCTTCACGTGGAGGTTCATTTTAAATGCCAAATTTCCCAAAATACCAAAAATGATGGTTCCAGCTAGCAATGACGTGCAAGTATCCAGAGTGGTAACAACCATAGCATCTCTGTGTAAAAAATATTTACTTTATTTATTTATCTATTATTTACTTATATATTTATATCACTTGCCTAAAGACATTGTGTCTGAAAGAATTGTAGGATGAGTACATTGTAACGCTTCCAAAACCTATGTTCAATGAGAAAAAACATTGGGTAACAGCATTATACCAAACCTAAATAAAAATGGGGTTAGTTTTTTTAAGGAAATTACAAATTATATCTTACATTGGCATCTTTTAATTTATCCCATTGTGGAGTGATAAAATACAAAATACCCTCCCCGGCTCCTTCCAGAGTTACAGCTCTTATTAGCAGAGCAAAAAGTATAACAAATGGGAATATAGCCAAAAAGTAGGACGCCTTTCCGGAAGATTGAATGCCTTTAGCGGATACCCCTAAAGTTAACATCCAAGCGCCCAGTAAGCATAATGTAAGCTGCCAATCGGGAACACCTATACCTTCTGTGATTGTTGTGGTTTCCTTTAAAACGTCTATTCTAAAAACAATATTGCTCCATTAATAATTTAGTCTTGTTGAGATACTTACCTAAAGTAAAGCTCTGCAGAACTCATCGTCAGATTTCCTGTAACACTGGAATCTTGATTCGATGGGACGCATTGGTAAGTACCTAGATATCCACCAGTGCTATGGTTCCATGCTGGGTTACATTCAGACCATGGTAGATCAGATGTGAAGGAGTTAACAAGATAAAACAGACTTATGCCCATGAGAGAACAATAGTATGTTGCCACGCAAATGGTACCTATAAGTTGACCATAACCCACACCTAAAACAATTTGGTGAAATGCACATTTTTACTCCAAACTTTATACCTTTCAATATCGGTGCCAAGCTCTCGAACATCTTAACATTCCCCCTGCTGGAAAACTGCCCCAAACACATCTCCAAGTAGTACATCGGTCTTCCCAGTACCAGTAGTACCATAATGTATGGTATCAAAAAGGCGCCTCCGCCATTTTCGTACGCCACAAACGGGAACCGCCAGATATTACCAAGACCAACGTTCATAGCAATACACGACATGAGAAACTCCACACTGTTTCCCCATGTTTGGCGTCCCTCAGGGGTCTCTTCCGCATCCGTTTGCTCGTGGTTCTGTGTCGGTTTAGCTGGGGGGTCGATTTGTATGGTATTGATTGACTAAAAATAATTATAAGTCATATTAAAAGACAAAATGTTGCCGTAAGCAACTTGCTTACATTACTAAACGAGTTTCTACTTTCTTGCATTTCATACGACTGTTTAATATCTCCATCTTCGGAGTAGCCTTTATTTATATAAGTCCCCTGAAAATAAAAATTCAAAATTTACTAATAAATCTTTACAAGTATACTTCCACTTACTTCCAGAGTCATTTTGGAAATATATTTTAAACTTGTTTATCCTAATATATTTATTCTTAGTTTCATAATTTATTTGGATATTTCAGCACAAAAAAGTAACCGACCAACTAAATAGGCAAACAACCACTGGCTTAACATACGTTTAGCCAACTATAAAATATTTTTGTTTACAAAGTGATAAGGTATTTATGCACCTATGCTTAATATAAACCTATTTTATAACTGACCATATAACAATTAATATTTTTGCTTGTTACATGCATAGTTTTGGAATTTTAAATTTATAGTTGCGGTTGATAATATTAGTTACAAGTATTGGAACATTATACCTGCACTTTTTTAACTTGTTGATGTGACTCTTTCATCTTTATTTTTAGGTTTTTTAAAAATATTTTCTGGATCAACAATTAAATGTATCTTTTTTATTCGCTTATATATTTACAAAACTTTATTTTCACATACAAAATTTTTATCTTTATTATTTATTAATTAGGTAAATTGTCCCAAGCAAATAAATAAAGGAAAAAAACACATTTTTTGTATCATAAATTTTCTTTTCAGCTTTTAGGATATACATATTTATTTGTTTTTGTATCTCGAGGAAATTTTTATTGAAGTTGTAAATTTTTTATGTTAAATGTTAAAAGAATTAAAAAATAAATGTTTGTTATAATATATAAAAATTACCAACAACAATTGTTAAACAATTATTTATGTTAAGTCTAAGTTTAAGCAATAAAAAAATATTTAAATAATTTTTTTTCAAAACTAAAGGTACCAAATTTTCGTAATCCCAGCGCTTTTTGGAAGAGCAAAAAAAATGTTTATTCAAAAAATGTAAAGCCTGAAATTGTTAACATATTAGTTTTAAGGTAAAGCTTTCAGGGGGGAAAGCGCCATAGGGGGGAATTTAACATTTTACATAATATATCAAAAATCCGAAAGTTCGAATATTTTAAAAGATAGACTACATTTATTAAAAAAACAATAAAATATCAAAGTATATAATAAATAGAAAATAGTTTTGTATCATACCCACCTGTATATCCCAATAAGTAGTCATTAATGCTTTAAAATATTAAAGCAGAATGTTCACAAAACCACGGTTTTTGTTACTTCACATTTTTAATGTTCTGTTTTTCGTGTAACATTTGCATATTGCTGAATGATATGGGTATGGAAATTTCAAGTTTATCAGTATGATTTTTTACTACTGACCCATTAACACAATTTTTAAGGTATTTTAAGTTATGTATTATAGGTTATACCTAGTCCAAAAGGGTTAAATTCTGTTTGGTTGTAAAAAATAATATTAATGTAAAATATTAATGTCAGTCACCTGCCCAATAATTTTAATTTGTATCTACAGGGTTTTACTTTTATTTAACTTTTTGGTTATTATTATTAAATAATAATAAATTTTATCGTAAGCAATAATAATCAGTTGTCAAACGCATATGTTATAACAATATATACAAACCGACTAAGGCCGAAAAAAGTTAAAAATATCGAGAGAAAAAAAACGTGGAACGATTTGTTGTGTTGTTGAGTGTTTTTCGAGAGGAAACACAGGGAAAAATTGTACAAAGTTGTGCAACGTGCCATTGGAGTATAATTTTCTATAAATGTGCTACGTTATCCAAGATAGTTTGTTTAAGTCAATTTTCTATAATTTGCTGGAAACAGTAAGATTTTATATTTAACCATTTGCACAATATTGTCAAGAAAAGAGTTGAGGTCTGTTGTTAAAAATATTTTAAAAATAAATGTTATTTTTTTGTACAATTTTTTAAATAATTCGTATAAATTTAGTATAACTTTGAATTAAAATATAAATTTTACAATATTGGACAATTTGTTCGGGAGTGATGCATCACACCACCTAAGATAACCAATGAAATGATTTCCCGATTAAAATAAGATGCCGGCTGGTCGCATCTGCAATCTGCATCATCAGTTTAAAGTTTAGGAAGTGTATCATTGTGCGATTAGTACCACATTTCTGGTGAGTAATTATTGAATATTATTTTTCCGAATATGTAGGTAGGTATTTGCAAAATTGTTTAGGGACTGGGATAAATCAATGAATTAGATAAGATAACTTCAAATCATCTTCTGAATCTGAATCTGAATAGATGTCAGAAAAGAACCATCTTTTAGCAAATGTTTGCAAATAATTTTTAACATAAAAATTTCCTAATCCATAATGTTTACAAGCTTTTGGAATGCACAGTCCAAGAAACTTAGTCGACGAAGATTTAGGTGCGGGAAAACAGTGCCTTTCGCCACTTGTACTTTAATATACTAGTAATACTTTTATATAAATAGAATAATATTATTCTTAAAAAATGCAAATAAAGGAAACAAAATTCGATCTTTTAACTGCCGGATATCCGGCCGCCGGATATCCGGCTTCGATTCTTGCCGGATATTCAGGATCCGGTGTCTGGCCAAACAACTATCCATTTTATCTATATGTATATTAGGGTGGGTCAAAAAAACCGACTATTTTTTTTTTACTTTGTACTCTGAAAAATCGGTTACTAGACACCTCTAGAGAATTCTCACCAAACATGAGCTCTTAATTTTGATAACAAGGTCCTCCGCTTTAGAATTTTCCATTTTTTCCTCAGTAGAGCCATTCCACGCGTAACGGATACTACAGTTGCCGTGTTTTTATTTACAAAATAATATTGTTCTATTATATTACCAATGTCAAATTTTTATAAATAGTTCTAAACTAAAGCTGTTTAACAAGGTTTTTATTTGGCAAAATTAGGTATCGTGATTGACTGTTTAATTCCTTAAAAATTAATAATTTAAAGCGTAACGGGCGGGACTATTGCAAAGTCCCGACCGTTACGCTTTAAATTATTAGTTTTTAAGGAATTAAAGAGTCAACCACGATACCTAATTTTGCCAAATAAAAACCTTGTTAAACAGCTTTAGTTTAGAACTATTTATAAAAATTTTACATTGGTAATATAATAGAACAATATTATTTTCTAAATAAAAACACGGCAACTGTAGTATCCGTTACGCGTGGAATGGCTCAGTACTAGAAACAAAAATTTATATCTCTTCGACAACTGTTTGTTAAAAATAAAAATATTCTTGTAGGAAATCGAACGCTCTACAAAAAAGGTCTCTTACAATTTTTTCGTAAACCTCACCGTTAAAAAGATATCGAGGGTTCAAGTTTAATTATTTTAAGAGAAATTTCTGTTTTGCTTATAAATTTTATAACTCGCTTACAAAAAATTTTGAATGAATCGCGCAACTCAAAGTTTTGTAGGAAATTAACTGCTCTACAAAAATCGTCTCTTATGATTTGTCAATTAAATTAAGCGTTTAAAAGATATTCATCGTCAAACTTAAATGCATACTAATTTTAACAGTTTTTGATGAATAATTCAAAAAATTTCAATTTAACTTTTGAGTTTTAAAAAAATTTATACAAATTTGAGTTTCTATCGTAAAAGTAACTCTTATAGAAGTTTCCCTTTCGAAAATTTATTTGAGACTTTTTTATTTTAATAATATTTTCATGAAATTTATCTTTATAATAACTTAAAATCCTGATCAAGTTGTTATTTTTTTATGGCGTTTGTTTAAAACCCAAATTGTAATACAGAATAGTATATTCTGTAACAAGTTTGAAATACGGCATATTCCGCTCGAGTGAAAAATTTGTCATACGAGCCGAAGGCGAGTTTGACGGTTTCACGAGAGGGGAATATGCAATTCCAAACGTGTTTCAGACTATACTTTTTCTAGGTTTCCAAAAAATACCATAGACAAATAATTTAATTGGAAGAAAGTGAGGTTGGATCGGTCTAAAATTTGTTAGATATTAAAAACAGAGATGTCGCCACGAGTATTTATTCTGTCATCAGATGATAGAATATTTCATTCTGTAACACTTTACGGAATATATGTCATTCCATAGATAAAAGTGATATTAGAACGGTCATATTCCATAATAGAAGTAGAAAAAACTTTTTACAGTAAAAGTGTACGATTATATTATAAATGTATTTGTATAAATTTTCGTAAAACTCAAAAATTAAATTGAAATTTTTCGATTTATTCATTAAAAACTGTTAAAATTAGTATGCATTGAAGTTTGACGATGAATATCTTTTAAACGCTTAATTTAATCGACAAATCATAAGAGACCATTTTTGTAGAGCAGTTAATTTCCTACAAAACTATGAGTTGCGCGATTCATAAAAATTTTTTGTAAGCGAGTTATAAAATTCATAAGCAAAACAGAAATTTCTCTTAAAATAATTAAACTTTAATATCTTTTTAACGGTGAGGTTTACGAAAAAATTGTAAGATACCTTTTTTGTAGAGCGTTCGATTTCCTACAAGAATATGGGGAGAGTTATTTTTTAACGAACAGTTGTCGAAGAGATATAAATTTTTGTTTCCAATACTGAGGAAAAAATGAAAAATTGTGACCTTGTTATCAAAATTAAGAGCTCATGTTTGGTGAGAATTCTCTAAAGTTGTCTAGTACAAAGTAAAAAAAAATAGTCAGTTTTTTTGACCCACCCTAATGTATATGCTGTATATAGTTATAATAATAATACTATTAGAGAATTTTTTTAAAGAAAAATTAAATTAAATTTATTATAATTTAACTATATATTATTAATTATCGTTATTAATGCCTTAACTTATATGAGCTAAGAGTTTAGGACAATAATAAGAAAGTAAACAACTCCATGGACATACCTTTTAACTCCATGGAGTTGATGTCCATGGAGTTGATGTTTTTATAGTTAAAGTCACAAACTTTAGAAAATGGTACATAATGTATCTTTAGTTAAGTGTAATTTAAGCAAAGCATATTTGGTTATTTCACCTGGAGAAAGTTTAAATTTCAAACGTATTTAAATCCCTTTGTTGTTAAAGACATGGAGTTGATCTTTAATAAAAATACTTCCCCGTTTTTTCGCAAATAATTGTTCTTTATAAATTTTTATTAAATATTACACCCCCTTTGCCTTGCTTACACAAATCAACACTAAATCTCAAACGACGAAGTCTTCAAACATTACTAAAATACGTTTTATACAGGGGATTTATCAAATATTAAAAGACTGCAAAGAACTCAGCTGTAAAATGGTGTCTCATGCTTTATTCGACATTTTGGGTTAAAATATCAATTAGTTTGCTTCTGGTTGTGTTTTTTTATACATTCCAAGTTAGAGGAAATGCAATATGAAAGAATCATTTCACAATTGCATCTAGTCTAATAGTATTTGGATGATTTGTTGTCCCTACGCTAGTTGGTGACAGTCCATGGAGTTGACTTTAAAGCGTTTAAGCAAATTCAAATTAATAAAATAAATAATGTTTTATTTTTTTGGTTAAGTACGTTCTACTGCTAGACATAAACTGTCTATTGTAGTGTTATTTAAATGCTAACTACTTTCATTATATATTTTATTTAAGAGTTTCAGTATATTTGCTCCGTTCTGGAGAATCACCCATAAGGAATAATAAATCAAAATCAAGTTTTGCAGTTTTTACTTGCAAAATTTGCCGAGTAAGACAGAAGTCTTCCTCTTTTGTGAAAAACAACTTAAACCAACAGTTGAATTCGGTTTTGTCGCTCAAGGTGTGCGCTTCGCCCAATAAAATAGTATGAAAAATATTAAAGCAGAAGGAGGGACAAAAGGATAAGAAGTATTATATTTTTTAACATTTATTTATACATACAAAATATAAATTATATTAATCTATTTAAAAAATTTTGATCAATTAACTTTTGTTCTCTTTATCCTTAATTAATCCACTTTCCTTCCAATCTTTTCCCATCACATGGTACACAGTATACGGTTTATTAACTACCATATGAATACCGTGGTAACAATCTATTTTTAAATTATGTTCTTTGTGCTCCAAATATTTCTGCACGAAAAATCGATTTAAGTCGTGCACCTTTGGATGACTTAAGTAGTCATCCACGCTCATCCACTTGGACTCCAAAATTTCTCTGGTGCATTTTGATATTTCTGTGGTGGTAGGCTTGAGACTCACCACTGTGTACAAGTCGGAGCAATTGAACATGCCACCGTGGGTGTGTCTAAACGTTAAAACTGACTCGAATGTGGTTTTGACGTTTGTTTCTTCGAAGACTTCTCGTATTGCAGCGTCCACCAAGTTTTCACCTATTAATGTTTATTTCGTTAAAATATCGAAAAAACCATTTATAATTTTATTTAAGTTTACAAACCTGGTTCGACATAACCACCTGGTAGTTTCCACAATGGTTCTTTTCCAATAAAATATCTTTCACTGACCACCAAAATTTCCTGATTTTCATTTACAACCACGGCTCCCACACCCATCATGGTGTGGGCAAAAGGTGGTATGTTGCAAACTTCGTCGTTTGGAAGCCAATTGTACATCATAACGTAATCTTCTTTAGCATGATGGAATTTAAAGCCGTTCTAGAAATATTATTTTTGGTATTTAATTACAAAAATTGTTTTTTGTTTTTTACCTTGGCTAGGACTGGTACCCAGTCTGATTGAGCTAGGTTTACTTTAAACCATATTCCACGTTTACCTGAACATTTCCAGGTTGTTAGAGATACTATAAAAAACATATTATTTTATTTTAAAGCTTGAAACAACAAGTTTTGTTATTATGAACAAATTTTTAGCTTTGAAGAGTATTTTCTGTCCTATTACTATAGTAAATATATTTATATTAAAATTAACATTTTAACAATAGACATTGACCCCTTAAACAGTGATCGAACATATGCAACCAAGATCACACAACGTCACAACCATAATAAAACAAAAAACATCCCAGGTCAATGTTCACGCAAGGTGCCTGTGATTTATCAAACTTATGTTCTGTGTTATCAAACAAACAACAATATGAATTAAAATCACAAAACTCACCCTCTAATTTTTCTTTGAAACTTTCATTTTCACAAGTTTCCGTCACAGAATTGACCGTCACACCGTTATATCTGTCAAAAACACCTTGAAAAATCGTGCACATCGTTCTGGTTAAAATTCGTCTAAAAATACAAAAATAATTAAAATATTGCGTGAAATATTATGGATTTATTACTGGTTACAAACGTTTAAATCGTTAAAATTACACAATAACTTTGACTTTCCACTACATAACCTATACAGCTGTTTGACATTTTTTATGAAAATCATTTAAACTTTAGTATTTTGCATAAGTATTTACACTTAACTGTGCATGATTAGATTGGATGATTTTTAGGTTATGTTCTGTGGTACGTACCCTGGATTTTTATTAAAATGATCTTTAACGTAACATATAACATAAATACTGTTTTTAAACGTTTTTTAATAATAGGTATGTTAGATAACATAAATGGGTTAAAATTCAGTTTTTCTACGTTAGTTGGTAAAAAATTAACGCTGTTTTCTGGACAAAGACAACGTAGGCAACTAAAGATACGCATGTGCTATTTGGTTGCATATAGTTGCATAGAAAACCCCGAAGGTCTTATTACAGTTATATTGGGCCCAAAAAAGATAAAATCTAAAATTTAAAATGTTTGCCCGTAATTATATACAGTATGTTCTAGGATTGACTTTAATAATATAGTCTCGGCCTTCTTGACCTAAAATGGATTTTCTCCAAACTACAGTTCAAAGGGTCTATATAGACCCTTTGAACTAGTTATAATAAAATATATTTTATTCAACAAAACATTAAGGGTAAAACTGTAAGGTGTATATCCTAAAAAATTATTATATTTTAAATAAAATATCACTGGTTTTATTAGTTTCAATGTTATTTACAATTATTTAAAATATTATTAATTTCTTGAAGCCCTACCTATTCATAAACCTGTTTTAATGTGGAGATATCGGTTTCTTATTTCACAGTTATATAGTTACCTATATTATTAATTTTATTTGCATATAAGCAGTTTAATATTGCTAGGTTTGTGATATTACTCAGTATAATAATTAGTTAATTAATGCGCAAAATGAGTAAGTTGTTTGTGTTTTTTTTTTGCTGTGCTGTGGTGGTGAACTGTAGTCCCAAAAATGAAAAATGTAAAGTTTTGATTGCCAATCCGTCTGTACCTCAAGCTGGGCTGGATATCTTAGAAAAAAAGTAAGTGATTTCCTAAAAATGATAATTTTGCAAAAAATTCCAATGCGCCTCTATTTTTTCAACAGATGTGATTTGATTAAAATTAACAATGAAAGCAAAGCAGAAATTTTATCCAAAGTGAAGGGCGTGGACGCAATATTTTACGCAACTTACATACCACTGGACAAGGAAATACTAGACCAAGCAGGTAAAAAAAACACTTCTTATAAAATACTTTATCTAAGTACTCCACTATTGATAAGCTGTGACTTTATGGCGTTTTAGTCACGTGCTGAATTAGGTCATTTTAGTCACGGACTGAAGTTGGCTTTATTATTATTTGGGAAAAGTGAGGTTAAATCCGTTGACAGTTGACAGATGTCAAATGTTTACAAATAAAATTGGCTTTAAATTTTTATTTGTGTTCGTCGTAGATAAAGTATAGTATGCAACTAGTTTTATAAACTTCTCTAGACACTCGTTTTTATTAAACACTCGCTCGCAACCTTCGCTCGTGCTTAATTAAACTCGTAACTAAAATGGCGTTTATAAAACTTGATACATAATATATTTTCTACTACTACGCCCATTATAGTACATGCTTCCAGAAAAAATTAACCTTTTAAATACACATTGACAAGTTGTGGCTTTCTAGCATTTTAGTCACGGGCTAAAGTTAGCTTTAAGTTAGTTGACAGTTGTCAAATGTCATACAATCGTTAAAATAAAGTGCCATCCTAGTAAAATAATACCATTTTTAAAAATACAATTTTGCTTTAAGAATTAAATAGTTTCTCAACGCCAATGTTTGAAAATTTTATTTGAACGTTGTACCTACTGACCTTTTAAATTCGCAGGCAGTAAACTAGATATAATTTAAATTTGGGCTCGGACTCCACCGTGAAGTGCTCATAAATCATTTTATTCACATCACTGTGAAAAACTGTTGTTAATCCATTTTCAAGGGATATAAAATTTGACATTTGACGGTACACAGATTACCCTATTGTTTTATAGATGTCGTTTTATACAAATATTTAATTTATATCATTTTTAGATAGTAATAAGTATTTGTCGTAGAAAAAGTATAGTATATATGCAACTTTTTTATAAACTTTTAAGACACTTATTAATTTAAATTAAATTCGTGTTTAAAATGGCGTTTATCAAACTTAATACATAATATACTATTATCTAATTCTATTGCATAGTTTTGTTTTTTTCCGTGAATATTGATAAACATTATATACTTCCTTCCTCACAACGGGAATAATGAACCCATTATTTACGTTGTTAGGCATCAGTGATTGGCCGATTTCAATAATCACTGTGATTTGAACCAATCGGGTTACCATTTGACATATGTCAAATGTTAAAATTATTTAATTATCTACTTATTGGAGTAGATAAAGTATAGTATTACACTCGAGATTATTCACTCTGCAAGACGCAAACCTCATCCTTGTGAATAATAGCCTGTGTTATCTCTCATATAATAATATACTATTATTTTAAAATTAAGGTTCTCAACTGAAGACCGTATCTCTCATGTCGGCTGGTTATAACCACATTAATATCCCCGAGTTAAAAGAACGTGGCATAAAATTATCCAACACACCTAAGGTGCTGAGCGATGCAGTTGCTGAGGTTGCCGTCTTATTAACTCTTGGCGCTGCCAGAAGGTCTCACGAGGGAAGGAAAAAAATAGAATCGTAAGAAACTGCGAATGCACCCACTCTGTGTTTTACTTATCATGTTTTTAGTGGTGATTGGAAGTCAGACCCTCAGTGGCTGTTAGGACAGGATATATCTGGTTCTACGGTTGGTATTATTGGTTTGGGAAGTATTGGGCAAGCTATACTTAAAAGACTTAAACCCTTTGGTGTCGAGCAATTTATATATACTGGACATAAGGAAAAAACTGAGGGTGAGGTTGAACATTAACGATTTTCTTGTTTTACACTTCGCACTTTTAGGTAAAGAATTGGGAGCAAAATTCGTGGACTTTGAAACCCTAAACAAAAACAGTGACTTTATAATAGTATCAGCGCCTTTAACAAATGAAACCAGAGGCATAATAAATGATGACTTCTTCAGCAAAACCAAAAAAACTGCGGTACTTGTCAATATTGCACGTGGAGAAATAGTTAATCAAGAAGCCTTGATTAAGGCCTTAAAAGAAGGCAAAATATTCTCAGCTGGTTTGGACGTGATGACTCCAGAACCTCTACCTGTTGATCATGAGCTCCTAAAATTACCCAATCTTGGTACGTAAACATTTTATTATACCTAATGTAATGTAATATTTATGTTTTTTTTAGTTTTGACACCACATATAGGTAGCGCTACAGTTAAAACAAGAAACTCTATGTCTGTGTTAGCAGCCAAAAATATTTTAAAAGGCATAGAGGGTGAAGAATTGTTGACACCTGTATTTTAAGTTTTAATAAAAGTATTAACCGTTTTTGGATTTTATTTTTCAGACTTTGTTTACAATACTAGAGGTAGATTACCAATACTAGAGGTAGATTAACATTTTTTCAGAGATTGTGATACACATCAGATAAGGTTTAGAGGTCGGATCACATGGGCAATTCTGAGGTGGTACTTTCAGATATTTTTCACTTTTACATAGAACATCAATTGGATGCTTTAGGTTTTTTACCATCTCAAGTGCTCTTTTAGTCGCAAACAAATCTTCGAGATTATTTCTGAAAATATTCTCACGCACAGTATTACTTTCCCTTTGAAGAGTTTTCAACCCTGATAAATATACTTTTTTCTTTGTACCTGAAACAAAAGATTATACATGATAGAATGAATGAAAATAATCTTGTTTTTGTTTATCCTTACACTTGCAGATTGAAATTATGCTATTTTTTATAATTTTTTCAATTTTCACCTGAATATATTATGGCTCTTGGAAAGCGAAAACTTTTTAGCATAAATACTACATCAAACTATTGGTCGAAAAAAATAAGCAAAAATTGGGTTTATGAAATCCTTGCCTTCCAGGCCACTAGTAACCCATATAGCACAAGATGTCCAGTGGACGTCAAATGGACTTACATTGGACGTTTGGATGTACAATGGCCGTCCACTATACGTCCAATGGATATATGTACTGTGTGGGAAATGACAAGCTAAAGTGTTCAAATTTGATTGTAAAGCTAGATTAAATAATATTTTTTTTCTTCATAAAATTGTGGACCACCCTTATATATACAGTGACCGGCAAAACTATGAAACAATATTATTGAAAAATTCGTCTTCTTTTTCTCAAAAAATTCCTTGTTTTTCACTTCTCATGGGATGTGGCAATTAAACTTGAACACAACAAGAAGTTTGCAATTTATTTCATGCAAAGTATCCAGCTCGACTTATTACTCTTGCCACGGTTAGTACCAGATTTCACCTCTCTAGATTATTTCTTATGGGGCCACCTTAAATCAACAAAATCAAATTCGTGAAGATTGTCGCTTTATTAGTGCGGAAGTCATTCGAAACTTAAGACAATTTTCGGATAGGCTTGCTTACTGTCAAGAAACCAACGGGGAGCAATTAACATTTAATTGGTTAATGTATCCATTAATGTAGATATATATACATTTTTTTAAATCACGAACTTTTAAATTTAATAATACCCAAAACTATCATTCCAAAAAAATACATATTCATATTGCCGAATTCAGAATTTCATAATCTATTTGAATCTGCAAAAAAGACGGGGTACAATTTAAAAAAAACGGCTGATGACGTCATACACAGAAAAAAAGGAATGGTTAATTTAACTATATTAATTTGGTTGACCCGTATTTATTGAAACAACTGTGGAAAGGTTAATACAAACAAAGATAAGTTTGACGGCACCTGTTTTGGCCACTTTAAGAGAAATTTTGAGTTTACTGCGCTGCCAATATTCGTTTATAGAGTCTAGCTTTGGACGAACTATTTTAACTGTTTCCGTCTGTATCGTTAATTTAGTATATCTAGATAGAATAAAAAGAGAAAGCACGTGTGTAGCCCAAAAATAAATTTATATTGAAAAAGTCGCATTTCACCGGTTTTGGCCAGGAAAACACCATTTTTGGCCATAGGACGACCCAGTTTTGGCCACCAATTAAATAAAGCGATTTTTATTCAGTTTTTATTATTTTTTGTAATAAAAAAGTTAAAAAAATATAAAAAATACATTCTAAAAAACAAATACATTCTAAAAAATACATTTAAAAAAAATATAGAGTTCTAAATTTCAGAGCGTTATATATTTCAGTGTTATAGTTATATATTTCAGTGCGCCCATTTAGTTTGGTAACTAATCTTTATATTTTTTCATTTTGTCCACTAAATATGCTCCCTCGTGTTTTTCTGAACAGGTTCTTTACATCCTCATATCATTTCAATTACATCCTCATATTTATACAGCAACTCGTTTTTCCTTTCTGGCCATTTCCAATGTAGCCTTAGTCTTAGAAGAAACCATACACCCATTTTTTTTATAACCATCTCAGGAAAGTAACTTTTCTCGTTATTTACAATGACAAATGTGCCTTTGTAAATCTTTTCTTTGGTTTTATATACTTCAGTTTTAGTTGCCGTATTTTACGTGTTTGAATCTTCATCTGAGGATGTGCCTCCATTTGCGGAAACGGGTGTGTCACTGACGATTGTGTCCTTATGAATCTCTGTTTTGGTTTTATATTTTTCTATTTTAGTTTCCGTATATTCCTTGTTTGAATCTTCATCTGAGTATGTGCCTCAATTTGCAGAAACAGGTTTGTCAGTGACGAATGTGCCCTTATAAATCTCTTCTTTGGTTTTATATACTTCTATTTTAGTTGCTTTATTTTCCTTCTTTGAATCTTCATCTGAGGATTTGCCTCCATTTGCGGAAACGTTTGGCTTTTGTAGTCTTTGACTTAGTCTTTTTTGGTTTGTCTGCTTTTTTCTTCTTTTTTCGCTGCATCTTCTTGCTTCTTCTTTTCTATTTTCCTTTTTCTCTCTTGTTTTTCTGCCTCCAAGGCTTCCTTTTCCTTCTCCTTAGCTTCTGCCACTTATCAGAGGTCAGAACACTTGGCATCCCAGTCGTCTGTTTATTTTTCGAGTGACCGGCTGGCTATTTTATTTCGTAAGGTTGTTCTAGGAACGCCGAATGTTTTGCTAGATTTAGCCACCGGCCGTTTCAAATAGTCACTAAGGCATTTTTCAGTTGATCCGGATAGTATTGAAAGAATTACCTACCTTGTTTTTTGCTTTGCTAAATTTATTTTCTTTGTCGTATCCATTTTAAAACTGCAGCAAAAATTACTGATTGGAAAGCTAAGTAGGTACTATAATCTGATTCAACAAGTCTTTAAGCCTTTAGTGTAGCTAGGACCTAGGTACCTAAAAACAGCCTGGTGATCAAAAGTAGTGGCCATAAAATAACTTTTGGCCATGGTGGCCAAAAATGGAAAACGTTACCCCCTTTTTAGCCAAGGCAGTGGCCAAAACTGGAGAAATGGCCATTTTATTATGACCTGTTTTGGCCACCGCTTTTTACCCAAAACCGGTTGGTTAAACTTTATAAGCATTATTTTATTGTCATTGTTAAACATTATAAAATTTAAAAAATCATCAATCATATTAAAGCTCCTATTCTATTAAATGTTTTGATCAAAAAACTTACCTGCGTTTCTTAACGTTTTTGCTAAAGATTGGATGTCAACACATTACAACACCTTTTACACAACCTCCATTTATTTACAATGATACCAACATAATAAAGTGAATGCAATAAAGCAAAAACAATAACCCAAGGATTCGGCGGGAAATTAGATTCAGGGATATTTGTAAACAGTTCCCTTAATATTTAAAAAAAATCGAACGAATTGGCCACAACGGGGTCGGTGGCCAAAACAGGTGCTTCTACCCAGTTATTTTATTTTTTTAAATTGAATAAATTAACCCAGAAAACTTAAGTTAAACCAAACCGCTGTATGGTTCAGGGCCGGTTTATCAATCTTTCGTTAAGTTCCAGTTAGTCTCTCTGACAGTTAAATTCCATATCGATCGTTGTGAGAACAATGGTACACAGAAAAAACGCTAGCATAGCATAAATGGGTGAGCCATTTAACCAATGGGATCTTGTAATCCGTATTCCTGAATAACAGTTCCTATAATACCAATAGATAGTTAGCACTTGGTTTATAATCGTTTACTGTTTTTAAATAAACAACAAAAGTTATCGCTTCTAAATCTATTAATATTCATATTGATATTTATTTGTTAGAATGTTATTGCATTAAATACTAATTTGATTTATTTAATAAAGTTACTATTGTATGTATACTATGTATACATTTAACGCAATAAATTCTTTGACATTTAGGCAAAATATTTCCCTATTTTGCTTTAATAGTAATTAATTGGGCAAATAACAATTTAGATTGCTTTAATTTAAATGCATTCAATGACAGCGCTGTTCTTGGTACTATGTTAGATTTTTTTCTGTGTATCCATGGAGATTATCTGCCAGATAACTAACTGCAACTTTAACCGGACATTGATAAACCGGCCCTCAGTTTACTAAATTTGTTTTTTATAAAATAAGAGTTACTTTTACCCTAAGCACTCTGTTAAAACGATTAAAACAATTTGCCGTGCATTCTGGTTGCATAGTATGTACCGATCGCGGCAAAGGCGTTGCTAAATCAAATATTTAGTTAAAATATAACTAAATGCAATTGTTAAAATAACCTAATGTTTATTTGTCTCTATTGAAACAACTGATTTAGTTAAATGAAACCAATAATAGTTAGGCTAACTAAACTTTTTTTCTGTGTAGCTTCTACGAAACATGAAAATTTTATATCAAAATGTGCGGAATTAAAAAGAAAATTTTTTGGAATTTTTTGGGGAAGAAAACATATTTTTTAATGAATTTGTTTTATACTTTTGCCGGTATATATTAATTTACTTTATTTACTAGATGTTTTAAAAAAGAAAAAAAAACAAAAAATATTGTATATGGTTTATTATACATAAGCACACTATCTACAAGGTCAGGGTTCTATTACAAAAGTGATAAATATATAATACATATTGTGTAAAAATAAACAAAATTTAGATTATATAATTTAAATACATATAGGTTTATACTTTAATAAATACTGGGTCAGTAGAAATTCATAAAAGTTCAGAACATCACTTTTACAAGTAAAATCATGAAGTTTTTAAAGGGTAAAATGTAGACTATTGTTGAAGGGTCTAGTTAAAAATTAATGAAACTTTGGTTAGATTATTGTTGTGTTTTTTTTAGTTTATTTGGTTGGTATTATCGCAATTTTTTGTGTCTTAAATGTTACTTTGGCAGAAGAAAGACCCAAAGTGTTGATTACCAGAAAAAATCCACCCAAGGAAGCCCTTGATTTGTTAAAGCAAAAGCAAGTATTTTAAGTAAAATGTAGCTTTTAACTAATG